CTATCTATCTATCTATCTATCTATCTATCTATCTATCTATCTATCTACCGTGTTTCTCCAACAATACGATCTCCCCCAATAGGAAGACCCAGCATGTTTTCTAGGCATAAAATTAAATTAAGCCCCTCCCTCCAAATTTAGGCCTATTTTAAAACATGCAAAATGGGGGGAAGGGCAGGGGGACTTGCCGTTAGGAGCGCCCCGCGGGCAGCAATTCCTTGCCACCAGCTGCTCCTAATGGGCAATCATGTCAGAGCGTGGAGAGCTCCCTACTCCTGCCAAGCACCTTTGCGGCAGACCCAAGAACTTCAGTGCCCGCCGCTGTTGATTTCCCTTCTGCCCATGCTGCCGCTGCATTTGGAGCTGCCACTTCCATGTTTGGAGCACCACTGCTGTTTGGAGCACTGCTGCTGTTTGGAGCTGCCGCTTCTGCATTTGGAGCTGCCACTGCGTTTGGAGCTGCCGCTTCCACATTTGGAGTGCTGCCACTGTTTGGAGCACTGCTGTTGTTTGGAGCTGCCACTTCCGCATTTGGAGCTGCCGCCACATTTGGAGCTACCGCTTCCACGTTTGGAACCCCATCGTTGTTTGGAGCACTGCTGCTGTTTGGAGTTGCCATATCTGCATTTGGAGCTGCCGCCGCATTTGGAGCTGCCACTTCCGCGTTTGGAGCACTGCCGCTGTTTGGAGCACCACCGCCATTTGGAGCGCCGCTGCCACTCCAAACACAGTGGTAGCTCCAAACGTGGAAGTGGAAGCTCCAAACATGATGGCGGTGTTCCAAATGGTGGCAGCACTCCAAATGGCAGTAGCACTCCAAACACGGAAGTGGCAGCTCCGAACATGGCGGCAGAATGGGCAGAAGGGAAAGCAACAGCGGCGGGTGCCAAAGGTCTTGGGTCTGCAGCAAAGGTGTTTGGTGGGAGTAGGGAACTCTCTGTGCTTCACCATGATCACCTGTTAGGAGCGGCTGGTAGCAAGGCTGCCCATGGGGCGCTCTAAATGAGGATGCAAGGGGGGAAATTAAGTCACCCCTGAAAAGACGGCCTAGCCGTTTTTTCAGGGCTCAAAAAAATATAAGACCTGGCCTTATTTTATGAGAAACACGGTATTTATCTATCTATCTATCTATCTATCTATCTATCTATCTATCTATCTAT